AGATAAGATTTTAACAACTCTGAGCTATTAGTTAAGTTCTCCCCAAGCGAGCTCGATGGGCCGAATGGCCTCCTCTCGTTTGTATAGTTCTTATGTTGTTATGTTCTTGACACATTTCACCTTGCCTCCAATTATGCTGACATTTAGCACTTTAATTAAGTCCATTCCTAACAAAGGTGATCCTACTTTGACAATGTAAAAAGAGGCTGGAACTTTATCTCCTTTATCTGCTATGGCAACCACTGCTGGCAAACAGCCAATAACAGATAGCTCACTTCTAGCGTAAGTAACTAATTTAACTTTCGGCTCCCTAAGTGCACAGTCAGCAAAATACCGTTTGTACGTTGACTCTGGTAGAATAGATACAGAAGCTCCAGTATCTACAAGTAACTCCAAAACATGGAAATTTCCCCGTGGCGCTTCAATGTTAACAGTGCAGGTAATCTTATCATGCACTGCCGCCAAAAATTCAACGTCATCTGCGCAGAGCACAGTTAGTTCTGGGACAACAACTTCTCTCACTTCATTTACAGCTGATTTGCATACCTTAGCGAAGTGTCCTAGTTTCCCGCAGTTATTGCATTTGACCGAAGCAGCTGGACAGTTTTTATCATTAGCCAAATGCCTGGTGGATCCACATCTGAAGCATTTACATTGCTGCTGAGTAACGTTCACCGGTTTGCTTTGGTGCCGGTCCGACGCCGGTGATTTAGCTGGGCGCGCTACTCTTCTCCCTCGAAAACGTGTGTTCTGCGTTGTGTGTGTGTGTGTGTGTGTTTACTATAATATAAATGACATTTTCGAACATGGACATACACAAAGGAATAGAAGTAACCACCTAACTGGTGGGGAAAGATTCTGCAGTGGAAGGTGCAATAAACAAATATGCATACTGCCAGACCAACATGTCACAACCAGAATGACAGTGCTGTCCGGGGAATGCAGTGCTGTCGTTTCTAGTCCTACAATGTTACTTTTACTTGCGTTTAAGTACAGCTATTTGACAGCTTGAAGATCCTTTGGAGCTCGCTCTGTGATAGCACTTACCTGAGGCGTGCATGTGTGAGGATGGTTCATGAAGGTTTGGGGCAGGTTCTGTCTGGGTCATGCCTTGTCCATTTATGTGACTATGCTGAGGTCTCCCACTTGATAATAGTCGCATCAGTTGAATTTACTTTTCTATAGGCAAACACACAACACCTCAGTCTATACTATAATTTGTTACAATGATTGTTATGCCTTTTGATCGGATGAGTTATTTAAACATTTACTCATCTCTGCCTCAGTCAATCAGCACATGGACACTGATGTGTTCTTCTACCTGCTGATCATCTTCTCGGCGATCAACTCCTGTTATACCCTGGTTTGGGACCTGAAGATGGACTGGGGGCTGTTTGATCGGAGCGCCGGTGAAAACACATTCCTGAGGGAGGAGATTGTCTACCCACAGAAAGTAAGAGGGTGGCACAGCAGAAACATTTCTGTATATTAGTGCAACACAGCTTGCAGTTTTACACAGTCTGATAGTTATCAGCAGTGTTAAGGTAGTGGGGGCTGAGTGGGGGCCTCACCATGTGACTCAGTGGCATAGGATGCTGTGCCAGTGATCAGAAAGTTACCAGTTCAAATCCCAGGGTCAGCAGAGTGACAGTCAGCAGGGTTGGCAGTTGTGTGTCAATTCGGATAAAAGTGTAAATAAATAAATGAAGTTTGATAGCAAACAGTCATCAGCAGGTCTACTGTGACATATTTCTAGGCCTTAAAACTCTCATCACAGTCCATTTTACATCTTTACCAAAAACACCATAAGTTTTATTTTTAAATGGTGTTTTCTAACGCTTTTCTATGTTGTTCTCTCTCTTCTATCTACTGCTGTGGATGTGCGTAGGCCTACTACTACTGTGCCATAGTGGAAGATGTCATTCTCCGCTTTGCCTGGACCATTCAGATTTCCCTCACCACCTTGAACATCTTTCCATCTGCTTCTGACATCTTATCCACTGTACTGGCGCCCCTGGAGGTGTTCAGGTAAGATGGACGTGTGTAGCAGCCAAATTTGTTCAGATGCTGCATTACTTTTAATAATAATAATAATAACAACAATGCGTTTAATTTGAATTTTACTTTTCAAGAGCCCAAGGCCAATTACAGTGTGCAAGAGCACAAGTAATAGACAGGAGAAAATAAACAGGCAGTATGATTCAGCAGAGTAGACCATAGTACACCTTGACATTGCAAACATTATGCTTTCGCTTATTTCTCTTCCTCCAGTATCTTTGTTTCTTACTTTCCATCACAACTGTGCTCTCCTGTGCCCAAAAGGCGCTTTGTGTGGAACTTCTTCCGGTTGGAGAACGAGCATCTCAACAACTGTGGTGAGTTCCGTGCAGTGCGGGACATCTCAGTGGCACCTCTAAATGCTGACGACCAGACCCTGCTGGAGCAGATGATGGACCAAGAGGACGGTGTGCGTAACCGACAGGGGAAGAAGAGCTGGAAACGTAGCTACAGTGTGTCACTACGGCGCCCCCGCCTGGCTTCTCAGTAAGACTTTCTGATATGTAGTATATTGTGTGTGTGTGTGTGTGTGTGTGTGTGTGTGTGTGTGTGTGTGTGTGTATATATATATTTTTTTTCTTTTACATGTGCATTCCTTCTATTTCCTACTACTTAATGAATCAGGGCTTATTGGTTAGGATACTGACCTCTTAACAGAATGTTAGCATTTCAGCTATGGGATCCATTAATGTTCAGTACTTGAAAAAACCTACCTCATACCATATTTGTGAGGAAAAAGTTTGTATTCCTGGAGTCTTTTTTTTTTTTTTTTAAAATAGCTTTTTGTTTGGTTACCTTAAATCCAAATACAATATGGCCCAATCAAAAAAGATTTCAGATGATCTCATTAGAAAAGTTAAGCTCATGAGACATTAACGCCATTTCATGCCACTATATATATATACATACTACTGAGTGAAAAGTATGTGGACATCCATTCCAGTTATTGATTTACACCATCAACGGCACCCTCACAACATCCCACCGTTGCAACAAATCAGTTTTAAATATTTCAGCCATTAGACCTGCCTATGGTTACCATATTTGGTGAAACAAAAAAAGAGGATGTGTCCAGGGATCAGAATATTAATGAGTTTTCACATTAACAAGCCAATCAGAAAGCACCTCTCTTAATATAATGTTTTCCCTAACCAACCTGTAAAATTAAAATTCTTGTCCGCAGAAACCCAGGGATATTGTAACCTTAGTTAACTGTCGTTTTACCATCTACACACAATTGTATACACGTATATTGTGTCAAGCCTTTTTCAACAAGTTACCAAAACCCTGAGGTAAGATTGTTAAACTTCAAGCAAGCAACATGATTGACTTCATATAAAAACACAAATAAAGTGTCAAAATGCCAATGGTTTACGGAAGTTGACTTCACTCATGAGCAGCATGACACTTAGAGATGTGCATATCATTTAATTTTTAAAGGAAACATCCACAAGCCTTCCAGACGCTGTGTGTTGATACTGAGTGGCTACCTTTTCCTTCACTTGGTACTCCACTGTAGCTTGCAACACTGGGTCATATGGGTTGCAGCGCTACACCCGAGTTTTGAAAAACTGCTCAGATGCCCAGACAGGCCCAAAAAGAAGACGTGTCCATGGAAACCCAGACATATGGCAACCCTGGACCTGCTAGTCAACTGTCAGTAATGTTAAGTGGAAGAATCTTCGCGCAATCACAGTTCAGCCACAAAGAAGTTGGCCACACAAGCTGACATAGTGGAACCACAGAATGTGGCGCGTAAAAATCGCCTTTTCTCAGCTGAGACGCTAACTGCAGTGTTTCAAACTGCCTCAAGAAGCACTGTCGGCATGAGTGGTCCTTCAGGAGCCACATGTTTCCATAGCTGAATTGCTGTGCACAATGTCAAGCGTGTGACACTTGGACTGTGGAGCAGTGGAAATACATTCTCAGGTGTGATGAACCATGCATCACTGTCAGACATTCTGACAGCAGTGATAATTTCGTTGACGAAATATTTTCGTTATAATTTTCGTCAACGACAAATTTTCA